ACAGAAATTACCCTCAAGTGGGAAACTCTTGTGGCCAGGATGGGCAATTCGATGGGAGTGCCACGAGGGTCTTTGTAGGATCGATTCCAAGAGGTGTTCTCAGGACTGACACACGTTGTGTCCATGGGAAAATGTCCAAGTGAGGAGAAAAAGTGTGCACCCGAGGCGATTCGAACCAGTATCCAGCTGACGCCATGTGCGAAGGTGTACCTTCAGGTGAAAGTCAATCGACGGATACCCTGCGAATCGGGTCCTCCTTAACACAAGACTGAGATGATATGGACAAAACAAATGGGCGGCATGAATGACCGAAACACACACACCGTCGCATCGGTCCGAATTCACTAAGCGTTTATGTACATGTTGAAACGGAAATTTCTGTGGTTTTAACGCGGAAAAATACCGCGGAGAAATTTCCTAGGACAGCCAGCCCTGAAAAGCATACAAATTGCGGGTGAAAGCGAAAAAGATCCAGCTAAAAAAGCTCTCGTGGGTACCAAACTTCGACGTTAGCACCGTTGACGAGGGAAACGGACGGCTGGACCCTTTTCTCGCGATACAAATATTCCGGACACACAGGCCGCCACCCTCTCCCCCGGAGGAGAGAGAAATACGAAAAAGTTACCATGGATCGCCTAAAAGTTACCGTGAGGTGAGATGGATGGCAAGCATGCCTCGCTCTCAATGCCCCTTCGCATCTGCTCCTCGTCGATGCCGGCCCACACTGACCCAGCTGTGCTACAGGAACACACGGAAACAAGCAGACTACATTACTTTAGCTTGCGTGTACAGTACCGCCTTACTCCTCATTTCAAATATGATCGTACATTTTCGACCAAAGCTAGCTCCAAGGGATGAGCGAAACAGCCTAGCAAACAACCCAATTCTTTTGGAACAGGTCATTGACGAGGTTTCCAAAGTGTTGACAACCATGCATGCGGTGAAAGTCCACCTGCCTTACAGCTTGCCCTTGCCGGTTCCACCACTGCACAATAGGCAACACAGTAGTAGTAGTCTCACAAATCTACAACTGTAAATAGCCCTGGTCTTGAAGGGTTAAGTTTGACTTGTTCAATCTACCCTGCTTACAGTTAGCGCCCGCAATAAAGAAATATATTTTCAGAAAAATTGGCTCGCTTTTTCACGAAAAATATGAAGATAGGGTTAAGAAACATAGCTCAATCTGGGTCACACAATAAGAAATGTCTCAATGAGAAACACAGCGGCGACCGCTGCCCTACTACATGGGAAACGAGGGGTTACGGGGGAGTGTGTCGAATATGAAACAAATCCCATAGCTCTCTTTTCGCTCTTTCTCCCTCTAGCCCTCCCCCACCCCCTCCCATAGTGCATTATTATTTGTTGTACGACGAGGGGGGGGGG